AGTATGAATTTCTATTATACAATTAAAGTAAAACAGCCAAAGAAAACTTGTTATTGAGTTTTAGCCCTTAAAATCTATAGTATTTATCGTCATACTAATTTTCAATTTCAGAGATTTAACAATTCCTCAACGTTGATATATATATTGTCAATGTAATTTTGTTGTATTTGTATATTTGTTAGTATTAATATTAAAAATAAAAGTACCAATTCTATGTATTAGCATTTGTCATCTTTGTATATTATGTTCATACATATATATATACAATAATATTTTGAACAATAAATCTTAAAGGTATTTAAACTACTGTATTAGTATAGTCACTTATTATATATGTGGTTAAAATATCATCTTTATACAGAATTAGAACATGTTTTTCATGTCAAAAATGACTTTATCGCTTTCAAGATCTAGCTAAAGAAGGTCTATGTGAATGTGATATAATGCAAAAGCCTTCTCGCTCTGAAAATCCAATTTATAGTTGAGTTTATAATTCTAAAAAAACATATTTAAATCAAACATTATTCTTTAAAAGATATAATAATATTTGGTGCTATAATTGTGATTTTGATAAAGACTTTAAAATTAGTTTTTGTAATAATTGTCATAGCCGCTTTCAATATTACAAAGATACGAATCCTCCTTCAACCAATGTTAACTATATTAGTATTGATTCTGAATCATCAACAAACTCTAATTTACCAAATGATGATTCTAACTATTTATTACCAAATAATAAAAATTTGAATCAGGAACCAAATAATAAAAATTCAAATCAGCATTTGAGATTAGAAGCAAAAGTTATTATTAATGTTAAAAGTTCTACATTGATGCTTGCAAAACTGTTTATATTTAATTCATATAGATTTGATACATTTCATTATGACCTTATTCAACATATTCATAAGCATCTTAATAATAACAAGGTTGATAAAGATAATATTGAAATTACTTACAAAGTAAACGGACATGGTCTGAAGATAGTGTTAGATGATTATAATATATTTATTACTAAGTGTAAAAATCTATTAGATTTTAAGGGCTAAAACTCAATAACAAGTTTTCTTTGGCTGTTTTACTTTAATTGTATAATAGAAATTCATACT